AGCGCGCTCAATGAGCAACTCAGGAAGGAGTCTAGCATTTTCGATATCCGGAAATATCTGCTTAATGAGTAATCGCTCATGTTCATAGTCCTTATTCACAGCTGAGGCTTCCAGGACTAAATTGTCGGGTATCCTGACATAGTCTCCATGTGTGCCAATGGTAACTGTCTGCTCTGTTCCTTCACCGATTCGAAGCAGCCATTCAACGAACGCTTGGTTTTCAGGATGGCTATTAACTCGCATATTCTTGCTCACCTGAGTGTTGTCACTGAGGGCCAAATATAAGACCTTTTCAATGAAGCATCCTCAATTTGAGCCTGGGTCCCACGGACGACAACCGGAAGTACCTGCCTGAAGTCGCCTCCAAAAACAAATACCTTGCCACCAAATAGAGTGTCCTGCTCCATAATATCCCGAAGCAGCCTGTCAACAGCCTCAAAACAATGCTTATGCTGCAATGGAGCCTCATCCCAGAAGACGACGGCAGCATTACGTATTTTGACTGCAGCATCTTGCCGCATGCTAAGGTTACAGATGGAGCGACAGTCCACTGGAATTGGTATCTTAAACGTGGAGTGGGCTGTATGACCATCATGAAGGATGAGAGAGGCGATCCCTGATGAGGCAACGGCAATCACATTTAGTTTAGTTGGCCAGTGATGCAGCCAATGAGTGTGTTGTATAAAAATGATTTGCCTGTTCCTCCTGGCCCATCAATAAAAAACAATCTCTCATGGACCTCGCTTTTGGCTGCTTTAATGATGTGCTCGAAGGCGATTTCTGATCGGAATTCAAGTGAACCACATTATTTAGCGCCTCTTGTTCAAATCTCCATTGTTTGTGTGCTTCACCGGCCTGCTTTCCCTCTGTAAGGCATTGTCAAACTCTTGAGGCATCTCTGAAAAGTTAGCTAGGCAAGACCCAAGCTCCTTTAGTATTTCATTTAGGTCGTAAAGTGCTAAGCTTATAGCCTGTTCCTCTGCGTTGCTGCCTGCAGTAATAGTAGTCGTTTCTCCTTGTAGCCCTCTACACCTATGAAGGAAGTCTTCAGATAGGTCCCCCATGAAGCGAGTCCATAAACTCAGCGGCTCGGACAGGCTACAGTTGACCATCATAAGAGCAAATAGATGTCGCAGCATCCTAGGTGATTGATATGCAGATGCTTCTTCTAAGCAACGACACCATTCTTCATCATCCAAGTAGACCATGAGCAAGAGCAGCGGAATAGAACGTATCAAAAGTCTGGTTGGTTTCTGGTATCGTACGAAGCTCTGCAAAGCTCTTTGCTCTTTGACGTGCATAAGCAATAGTCGAAGACAGTATCGCTCACGTTCTTTTGGCTGGACAAAATACATCCTGGAGAGAACCTTCGTACTATTGGCCCTAACCCTCGCCTTCCAGCTCCTGCTGCGCTTGTGCCATGTATAGTGGTAAGGTGTATCTGGATACAAATAGTATTCTGATACGCTGATATCGCCCGCAGTTTCTGCATTTGCCGCGATTGCAGCTTCTGCCTTAAAACTCCTTCTCGGTCGCGGCGTTGAGCTTGAACCAACCATTAGCTGGGTGTCTTGTCACGAGAGACGACGTCTTCGAGGTTAGCATCGGAATTAAAGACACTTGTGTGGTCTTCTAGATGAAGAGACAGTCGGACGACATTATGAGACTGTTCATATAATGCAAAACATAGATGCGCCATAAACTCTCGCAAGTAGCACGTAGCGGCTATCCCTATAGTTGGTGACTTCATCAGTATTATCAACTTCCCCATCTGCCGCTACAACAGCGATTGATGCTCTGTCATGGCCTTGTGCACATATTTGTAAAATATTTAACCGAGAACCGACCCACATATTTCGACTTAATATGCGCATTATACTTGGTGGAAAGCCATAAGTTGTGGGGAACAACCCAAGTGTTGTCGATGGGTTGCCTTTTGAGTTGACGAAGGAACGTTCAGGATTGTTAGGTCGACGGTAATTTGGATAGCCGTCTTCGCTTCTTGTGGTAGTTTCCAAAACAAACGCGGGTACTTTTTTACTGCTTTCCCTTCGACCATGCATGGTGCTCGAGGATTATGAACTCCACATGGCCCATGTATCATGTGGGATGTCACTGTCTCGTACGCTAGTGGGGCGCTATTTCGATCAGGAATTTCTGCAGACACAAAAGAGTCAAAATGGTCTGTTGTTCGAGGCTTGTCCCTGTCATCAAGGATTATGAGGAGGTGCTGGTGCGGCAGACCACGTTTCTGGAACTCAACGACCCAATTGTAGGCGATACCTTCCCTAGGGTATCTTTTTTGAAAAGATCGTGCTCTAGAGCCTTCTTCTTGAGGTTGAACACACGCACACAAAGGTCCGGCCGGTCAGCTGCTGTTTGGCCTTCATAAAGGGCCTCCTGAATCTCTGGCCATTGAGGATTACATGTAAAGGTGATAAAGAGGTCGGGTTTGCCAAACTTGCGGACCATGGCAATGGCATCCTGGAACAGCTGCTGCATAAACCTAGGGCCTCCGACATAGGAAGATGGTAGGATGATTCGCTTCCCAATTTCTCTGGTCTGAGATTCAACTCAATCGCATCTACTACACCTAGGTATGCATCTGCTTTCAGTTTAGATTGGTTCAAACTGATATAAAGAAGCCGAGATGTCTCCAACTTGTAATATTGGTCAACAATATATTGGTGTGCCAAGCGTGGAAGGAGCCAAATATAGGACCGTCGGTCTGTTGGGCTCATTGGACGATTCTGCAGTCTGTACGCGTAAAACTCCCTCTGACTGACGAAATCTCGTCTTTTCCTTGTCCGAACCTCGTTGATCTCTATCTGTTCATCCTCAGTCCTTTCGTCGTCGCTGCCTTCAGGGGACCCTGCAGAGCTGATTCTGGCCTAGTCGTCTTCCTATATGTGCCGTATGTCCATCCATCCTCTCCGTTCGGATGCAAGAGTACGTAATGAAGGCTATCGTAAGATCGATGGGTTTCGTCAATCCTCTGTAAACCACCTCCCCTGTACTCAATAATGATATCCCTTTCTCTGACTTCGCTACCATCGCCAGGCATCAAAACAGCGATTTCAGAGGACGAAGGAAGATCATATTGTCTTTGGTTTTGGCCCCTTTGATTGCGTTTAGCACGGATGGCGATCCTCATTTGAGTATCTTGGCCGTTCGCGCGCTCCTTAATATTCCTGAGCTGGCGGGCCATTGGGTGATGCTGTTCAAGAAGTTGCTGTAGTTCTATAAGCAAGTTATTATCAAGAGAGTCTTCGAAATAGCCGTTGCGGACTCTGGCCTGCTCTTGGGGGTCATGAATGTGACTGTGGATTTGCAAAAACTGGGGATCTATGCCTTCGGGCGGATTCATAGGACCAATCAAGTGAGCAATGCCGCCGATGATACGGAAGGTGTACACGCCTTGTTGGCCGTTTGCAAGGCTCCTATCATGGTTCACCTTCATTGATGTAAAGGAAAGAGCACAGTTGTATTGCCGTGCATGGCTGCGGAATGCTCTGCTTTCCGCATTTTGCTCTCCAAAAAGCTCTACCAAGCGTGGGATATGCCCTAGATGAGGGATTTTTATTTGACCTCTTCCACAACATAAGGAAAATTCTGGTCGTTGTCTGCTGCTGCCTTGGATGCGTTCTTCGATAAACATGAAGGCATCGCAATAAGGGCACTGGGTCATCGGTTCTAAGCGATGCCTATGGCGCTCGATATTAGGGCCTGAGACCAAATCTTCCCGGAATTTCCTTCTACCGAGAGGAAGGGTGTCATCTTCATCACTATTGTATTTAGATAGAGCCCCGATTTTTTAAAAAAAAAAAAAAGAAAAAATTGAAAGGATTCGATTAAAATTAAAAAAAAAAAAAAAAAAAAAAAAAAAGAGGACTTACTTTATAACAGGACATGTGTTTCGGTTATGTCCTTGCTGATTGCATCTACTACATACTCGAGCTACGGGGGGTTGGCAGGTAGGTTGTATTCTGAAGACTGATGTCACATAAAATGCATATAATATGATATAGTACGAAAAAATTAAAAAAATTAAAAAAATTAAAAAAAAAAATAAAAAAAAAAAAAAAGGAAATAAAGAGTGAACAAAATGTAGCTCACCTTCGCCTTTGTGTGGGTCTCTCATTTTCGATATCAAGGTCATGGTCTAAGCTTCGCTCGCGCACTGCTCCATGATTGGCTTCATTTTGGATATGGCTGCTAAATCAATGGATCAATGGACAGTAATAATCCGTTATAAAGTCAAATCGATGGCGAGGAAGAGTATGATTATATGAAATATTTAAAGTACGTAGAGCCCACCTTTCAGCACTCGGACATGTACTTCGATTATGTCCTGGGCGATTGCAAGTGCTACACATATGCGGCCTTTGGGGCTGGCTAACAATATTTGCCCTTATATATATATGATGAGAATAAAATAATAGAGGGCTAAATAAATAAAATAAAAAAACAAAATAAAAAACAAATAAAATAATCACTTCTTTACCCTCCCGTGGGACCAATAACCTGCTCCAGGCGTGAAGCGGAGGGAAGGTTTGTGCGAAGCTCAACACGCTCTGTTTTTTGAGGGCAGAGCCGCCTATCATGCTTTTCACTGTTGCACAGACTACAGGTGCGGACCATGTCTTTATGAAATCTAGGTGCTGAGAGAAAAATTCAAATTGACAATATTGTAATTGTGTTGGGTGAAAAAGACAGAAAAGGCCTTTGGCAGCGCTGCCTACCTACTATATCCTCTACCACATTATCGATGGATAAGTTTTGACACTTTTATTCTATTTCACCGCCAGAAATAAAAACTGGTCAAAATGAGAATGATTTTTCATTTTGACCAGTCTTTATGGATTCTCCCAGTGCTCCTATTCGAACTGAAATTTTGTCAATTATGATGTTTCAGTTTAAAAAAATAAATATCAAATGACAAAATTTAGTTCGAATAGGAGCACTGGATTCTCCTACAGAAAACAGAGCTCTGGCGACGTTTATTGACGATCATTTATTTTTTCCGCCCTCCATAGCTTTATATTCAGAGGCTCTACATCAAACAACAGCTCCGCAAAACATCTGGGGCAATTGATGGGTGCAGCTTCATAGTGCACATACGCTTCATTCATCTTCTCTGAAGATTGTGATTGATAAACTGGTGGCGGAGGAGTTGCGGGGGCTGGCTGCTCCAGAGAAGGACAAATACACTTATATTGAGAAGAGCAGCCGATGTTCAAGCATTCCCTGCAGCCAATCTCAGCTGCAATCCCAGTTTTTCTTGCCTTTCTTTCTTCAAGTTTTCTTTCCTCTTCACTCTCACTCTTTTTCTCTTCTTTCTCCTCTTGTTCGAGTAAAGCAAGCAGGGCGTATTCGTCGATGGAGCTGTAGAACTCATCATACAACCCTTCTTCAGTATCCTTTACTGCCTGTTGGCTTTGTATTAGTTCCTCTTCAGCGTCTACGGGTCGTTCTTTGATACGTTGCACAGCCCGCTGAGCTCGTCGTGCTTGGATAATATGTTGTACACCCGATGGATTTGGTAAAGCTGTGGAACGTGTAGAACGTGTAGAGTTTGTGGAGCGTGCGGAGCGTGCGGAGCGTGTGGCAACCATTTCAAAAAAATCAAATTAAAAAATTTAGGTTCGGAGGTGGAGAGATTGAGGAAGCTAATTATCAAAGAAGCTTCATGATATATATACATGCTTTTTTTTTTTTTTTTTTTTTTTTTTTTTGTTTCATCGTTTATTTTTGTTTCTCTTTTGTTTATTTTTGTTTCATCGTATCCCACCAGTCACTTCGTCTTTTTAAAGTCACCTTTTTTTGGCTGTCACATAATTTTTTGTAATATTTTAATATAAGAGACAAGTTCGGTTCAATTAGAATATACCTAATCAGTCTTTTATGAACAACGATTCTAGTCCTATTTACGTTATGAACTTACTTGGATATCGGTCAGTTCTTGGAAGATAAAAATCAATACACCAACCTTGACGAGTATTGTCGTCTTGACCCTCATAATTTTTTATCCAATATTGATCTCGGCTCTTAAGAACCATCCAATCTCCATGTCTAACTTCGTGGCATTCAACCTAATAATTACATGCTCATAAGTCATTCGTTGTTTTTTAGTGTTTTAGTGGAAGATTTATTATTTAGTGCTGATGACTTACAAGGAAAGGGGGCTATCACGCTGCATTCCATGTGCAGCATCTAAACAGAGGCCGTTATAAGTGTTTCTAAGCTTTCCAAATGTCACTAAGGTAGTGGCCGAGAAGGCAATCATATAGGGTGAAAGGCATTGTGAAAAATGGTATTGTTAATCGTATGATTTTTTTTTGAACCGCCTTTTTATATTTTTGCCCTCATTTCAGGGGTAAAAAACAAGAAAGCTTGCCCAATAAAAAATGAAGAGGCGATGCTTGTTCAACAAAGAAATAAAGGGCAATGCTTGTACAAACTGGGTAAAAAAAAAAAAAAAAAAAGTCAAGCGGCTGGCCTCATGGGACTAGATGTTTTTTGAGACATTGTAACTGTTCCAGTATTTCTCTATAAAAATATTTATCTAAGGATAAAGTGGGTTTGTGACAGCTGTGGTAGCAAGGCGTTCATAGCGACATTGCTTTTTTGATCTTCGATGTCGCTCTGTCTAATAATGAGGCAAGGATTCAGCAGTCTTGGATTGTTCACCCACTAAAAGGGAAATCAATCACAGACGACTTTTAGCAGATATTTTTTTTTGTTACGAGCCGAAACCATGGCGAAGCTACAATCTGCTCAGAGAAATTTAATGCTCTGTCCCGTGAGAAAAATTACCAAACAAAAATATGTAAACTGCAGCCTAG